TGCGGCCGTACAAACAGTGGCCAATCAGTAGCCTCCGTTTGTTTAACCTAATCCGCCATCCTGATCATGATTAAGCTCCCTGCCTTTACACATTACTCACACTATACTCACTGAATAAACGTGCTCCGTGCTATAAGTCTGCTTCCTTTATAGCTGGGATGTAGCTTAGCTAGTCCTGGGAGTCTAACTAGATGCAGGAGAATCTGCCACAGAGATTTCTGAGTCAGTCAGGCTTTACTAAGGTAGCAATCCGCTACAATTGTGTCTCCCATATGATGAAAAGTAACACTTCGAAATTTGTTTTAGTACTAACCACAATGCTACTTAATAAGTTATAAATAACAATAATTATTAAAAACATTAAATTGTTGCACGTCCAATGGATATTTATTTCAAAATTAATTAATAGTTTGTATTAAGCAGCTCGATATAAGATATAGATGTTGAAAATGGTAAGAAGCCCACACTTTTACATGTATCAATAATACGTAATGAGGGGTATGCGATAGAGCTACCTCCACGTGGTGCACCCTGGGCAACGTATATTCATACGGCAAAAAAGTCTATTAACTGGCAGTTGACTTCTGACTTTAAGCTACTATGACCCCACTGTATGTCACATTCGACTAATTCCACAGTACTCACCTCACCTTTTTTCTACCTTTGTGTCTGTTCGTCTCTTTTGCGTCTGTGAATCATTATTCTGTCCCCCCTCTCGACTTTTGACACTTTGATGTTCCTCCTCCTCTCCGTGAAGCCCGAAGTCAACTAAAGGGCTAATGATGCCTATCATAACGCCTGCCATTTGAAATAAATAAATAATACGTAATGATCCCCGTGTGTGGTCCAACAATGATATCATCTAAATGCTCAAAATACGTCAAAACGCACTATAATAATGCACTTCAGAATACAGAAGTTTAAATTAGAATCTTATTAAAGAATGGTGCATTCAGATTCCGGACAAAGAAATTTAATCTTGCATTGAAATTTTTAGTTTATCTTAATACTCTGCAGAGTTTAAGGGAAGATGAATTTTCACACTAATAGTAAGACTGTTGATCATTTGTGCTATACCAGATCAGAGATAGTCTTTTCCATAAAATCAGTTGGTCACTTTGAATATTTGTTATAAATATTCCTAAACACCACCGTGATATTCCTGCTCCATTTTACGCACAATCATGAGTGAAATTTGCTTGAACCTACATGTCTCTGGTTTATCAACCTCGTATAGTTCTTTGTAGATCAAGTTGACGTAGTCCTTTCCAGGAAAGAGGAATTGTGTTTGGTCGAGTGAGATGGTTGTATCTATCCGATTTGATGAACTGTCAACAAAAAATTATAATTTTTTAAAAAAAAAACATAAAATAAAATAATTCCTAAAACGACAAAACTTTGACACAATAAAATAATTAACTTTTTTTCATACTTCTGTGTATTTAATAAAAATTGAGTCATTTATCATAATAGCGCTGCAAATGCTCTAGGCTAAATTTGTTTCACTCACAGTGCAGTAAGTTCACCATGATTACGAGGAGGGTAATTTGTTCCATTCTTTTTAGGTCGACTAGGACATCGTTGGGATAATATGCCATCATCAGAGAATTCTACTGATTCGTCAGCCACCGTAATGTAGGAATCCCGATTTGGTAATTGCTGAGAAAACTTGTAAAATAAAGTTTAATTTATAGCAAATATATTTATACTGTTGGTCCATAACACAAAAGAATCCCTATAGAATGTGACATACTAATAAATTGCTTCAAAATTGTACCATCCACCCACAAATTTATAATGAATCTAAATTTACTTCTCCTTCATCGTATATTATTGCACAATCTTTCCAAAATCTGTCATTTTCAAGGAATTTATCAAACTTATAAGGCGCTTTTTTCGTGCATTCAAAGTGTTAGAACAGATAAAATTGTGAGAAGATGTAGCAAATCGAATTGAATATAGCTGTCTAGTTAAAAAAAAACATTAAAAAAAAACATAAATTTACCCTTTGTGGAATTCCTGACCTATATTCGGGTCGTCCATGAGTAGGCAGACAATCACTTCGAATACATCGATTGCAACAGGTTAAATACGTTACCTCATCCTTCAGCCAATGATGAACTACCTCTTGAATTGGTAAAAGGGCCGCGGACAGAGAAAGGCGTGGTGTGTCGTTGACCTGAGAAATATTTCACTAAGCACAAATCCTTCTCGGTTTGATTAAATTGCAATTTATTAAATGTTTTTCTTATTTGTGCGTAATTATTTGTTATTATGCATCTCCAACGACCCATTAAAACGGGATCAAGCCAAGTTAGAAAATGAAAGTGAAGAGATATCAGGTTTTAATTTCTAGCAAGTAGAGAAAAAATAGGTAAAAATTGCTTACTAAATTATTCAAGTGATTCAGAGGTAATGAATAGTAATTAACGTCATTTAGGTGTAATGCAAAATCTACGCCCATTTGGTAACTTTCACTCGCGACGGACTTGAAAATTATGATGCTCATCACTTTTGGATGAAACCAAGATAGTGGCATTTCCACCTTACTGAACCAAAGACGATCAAAAGTTGTCGGCGTTTTCATTATTACTTAGAATAATAATTATTACTACTTGTGCTAACTCATGTGACGTATGGCAAACGACCCATTCAACATCAAAGACGAGTTATTGGAATAAATTTCATTAACGTGGATATAATTTTACCATGTAATTACTTACTGTAACTATCGTAATTAGGAACTAATAATTGACAATAAGGAGTGTACAATAGACTTATCTCCGCGTGTTGTACCCTGGACAACGGTTCTCAAACGCCGAAAATGTCTATATGCCGACAGCAGACTTCTGACTTTAAGCTGCTATGACCCCACTGTGTGTCATATTCGACTATTTCGCTGTACTCACCTTACCATACCTTTTTCCCTACCTTTGTGTCTGTCCCTTTTAAAACTGTGAATCCCACTTCTGTTCCTCCTCTCAATTTTTTACGACTTTGATGTTCCTCCCCTCTGTGAAGTCCAAGGTCTACTAAAGGGCAAATGTCAACTACTGATATAAATCAGTAATTGGCGATAATAATGTTTTACAGAAAATATGAATATTCACGAAAATCGACCCCTTTCAAAAGAGGATTTTAAAAGGCCTAACTCGAGCTGACTTTTAATATTTTTCCTCAGTTTCAGTTTGTGTTTTCGAGCATAATTAAATGTCGAAATCTATAAGAACTTCTTCTTCAGGACTCAGTTTCAAATTTTCCTCGTTACTTCACTTCCTTCTTTTTTAATTTCAGAGGACAAATATATTTGTTATTTTTATATCTGGATATGCCATAAACTTAGTTAAAATTAAAGTTTCATTGGTTAGCCTAGAATTAGTAATCACGTCTTCCCCCCAGTGGAATCGCAAGCTTTTAAACTATTTCCGAGTGACGTTTCGTGTGAGCAACAACATCAAATTGGGGGGG